CAGTCGAGCATCCAGATGGCACCATATGAGGCTCTGTATGGTAGGTGGTGTAGGTCTCCGGTGGGTTGGTTCAAGTCGAGCGAGGCTATATTATTGGATACAGACTTGGTTCAAGATGCTCTAGAGAAGATTAAGGTGATTCAGGATAGACTGCATACAGCCCAATCCAGACAGAAGAGTTATGCGGATCGGAAGGTTCGCGATGTTGCATTCATCGTTGGAGAGCGGGTCTTGCTCCGAGTGTCACCCATGAAGGGTTTTATGAGGTTCAAAAAGAAGGGAAAGATGATCCCGAGGTTTATCGATCCATTTGAGGTATTGCAACGTGTTGGGGAGGTTGCTTATGAACTTGCCTTGCCTCCCAATCTAGCAGGAGTTCAACCAGTATTCTATGTTTCTATGCTCCGGAAGTATCACGGTGATCCATCTCACGTGTTAGATTTCAGCTCAGTCTAGTTGGATAAGGATTTATCTTATGTTGAGGAGCCGGTGGCGATCTTAGATAGGCAGGTTCGAAAGTTGAGGTCGAAGAATATAGCTTCTGTGAAGGTTTAGTGGAGGGGTCAGCCGATCGAGGAGGTGACGTGGGAGACCGAGCATGATATGTGCAGCCTTTACCCTCATCTTTTCACCACTTTAGGTATGTCTCTATGCTCGTTCGATGACGAACGATTGTTTTAAGAGGGGGAGGACGTAACAACCCGGCCGGTCGTTTTGAGTGTATTAGCCCCGATCCCCTATTTACTGCTTTCCCCGTATCTGTTTCTACTTATGTGACTTGCCGGGAGGTCTTATTTTTAGTTTCGCAGTATTTTGGGACACTTAGTCCCTAAAACGGAAGCTTAAGTCTTAGGAGTTTGACCGTAGTCGGAATTGTGTGAAGACGACTCCTGAATGGAGTTCCATCAGTTCCGTTAGCTCCGTTGGGTGATTTTGGACTTAGGAGCATGTCCAGACTATGAATATGAGGTATCTTGCTAATTTAGGCTTGAAATGACGAAGATCGAATTTTTGGGAAAGTTTGACCAGGGGTTGACTTCTTGATATCGAGGTTGAATTTTGACTTTGGAAGTTGGAGTAGGTCCTTAATGTTGAATATGACTTGTGTGCAAAATTTGAGATCAATCGGGCGTGGTTTGGTATGATTCGGCATCGTTTGTAGAATTTGGAAATTTCAAAGTTCATTAAGTTTGGATTAGAGGGTAATTCGTGTTTTTGTTGTTGTTTGACGTGTTTTGAGGGATCGACTAAGTTCATATGGTGTTTTAGGACTTGTTGGTATATTTGGTTGAGGTCCCCAGGGCCTCGGGGGTGTTTCGGATTCTTAACAGTTTGAATTTGGACTTAAGCAAATGGCTGAAGTTTTCTGATATCTGGGGGTTTCGCACCTGTGGTGGGGAGACCGCAAGTGCGTACTCGCACGTGCAGGTGAAGGAGCGCAGAAGCGGGAGTTGAGAAGATGGCCAAGGTTCACAGGTGCGAGGATATTTACTCATCTACGAGCCCGCAGATGCGCTCGAAGCTCCGAAGATGCGGAGAGTGAAATGGAGGGGAAGATCGCAGAAGCGGACCTTTGTCTGTAGGTGCAAACACGTAAGTGTGACCACTTGCTCGCAGATAAGTACCCAGTCCCTTAAGTCATTTCCGCACCTGCAAGGGAAATTCCACAGGTGCAGCATTGCATGTGCGGCAGTAGGTCCGCAGATGCGGAAGAACTGGGCAAAAAAATATGATTTCGAGGGTTTGATTCCCATTTCGATTTTGGGAAATTGAGAGCTCGGTGTAAGGCGATGTTTCGACGTTTCTTCAAGAAGATTGTTGGGTAAGTAATTCTAACTCGGATTGGACTATATTTCATGAATCTATTGCTATTTTCATCATCTAATTAGGGATTTGAGTTGTAAATATGGAGAAAAATAGTAGAAACTTCATAGGCTAAAATTTCGAGTTTTTAAAGATGATTTGAGCTTGGACTCGAGTAATTCTTGTATGGTTGGACTCGTGAGTGGATGGGTATTCATATTTGATGACTTTTGTTGGATTTCGAGACGTGGGCCCGGGGGCCAGTTTGAGCCTATTTCGGATTTTGGCTTATAATTTCGTATTTTTCTTGTGGAATTGATTCTTTAGTCCTATATTAATTATATCGTACTACTTGTGGCTAGATTCGAGGCGTTTGGAGATTGATTCGAGGTGCAAAGACATTGCAGAGTAGGATTTTGCTCAGTTTGAGGTAAGTAACAGTTTTAAATCTGGTCATCAGGGTATGAAACGCCGGATTTTGGTATGATGTGATTATTTTGGAGGTGACGCACATGCAAGGTGATAGGCGTGTGGACGTGCACCATGGGGGATTGGGACTTGGTCCATCCCGTGAGACTGTAAAGTCGAATAGCTTATTGTTAATTACATGTTCCCTCTGTCTTCTAGAAATTTGACTAACATTCATGTTAGAAACCTTGCTTAGGCCATATGTTATCACTGTTGGGACCCGCAGCGGTCGAGTACTTGTTTATTAACTGCTATTTTATGTCTTGAACTCAGTCACAGTGACACTTGCAAGTCATATCTCTGTTTTCTTTTGTTTTCTTGTTGACACTTATTATTAACTCTTTTGGCTGATTTGTATGATTTCTGAAAGCCTGAGAAGGCTGGAGAGGTTAGTGACTGAAATAGGGCCTGAGTGCCGAGTTGTGAGATATGTGAGGGTATATGGATCGGGTTGCATGCCGCAACGAGCCTTATGGCTATTTATGGACTATGGATCGGGTTGCACGCCGCAATGAGCCTTATGGCTATTTATATGATTGGGTCAGGCTTCACGCCGCAGCGATATAGCGCTTGGGATGAAAGGAGCCCCTCCGGAGTCTGCACACCCCCAGTAAGCGTAGTTACCTATTGAGTGTGAGTACTGAGGGCTGAGAGCCGAGTGATTGAGCTGGTGTGACGAGTTGAGTGACTGTTGCCCTGGGAGGCTGTACTTGTTTTTTTCATTTGTTGATGCACTTAGTTGCTATCTGTCATTGTTGTAAAATTTCTGAAAGATTCTATATCCGGATTACCTGCACTTTTACTTTATAAAACTGATTTGACTTAAGCTGCCGGATTTGAAAGCAAGTCTATTCTTTGCTGGAAATATCGAAAATGATTTGTATTTGTATAACTCGTCAATACCTTCTCAGTTCCTTATTTATTTTTGTTACTTACTGAGTTGGTTGTACTCGCTCTACACCCAGCACTTCGTGTGCAGATCCAGGTGCTCCCGGTTGTAGCGGGTGTTGATATTTGAGTGGCTGATTCCAGAGACTATCGAGGTAGCTGCATAGCATTCGCAGGCCTTGTCTCTCCTTCATTATCTTATTCGCATTTCAGTTCTTATTCCTTAGATGTTGTATTAGACTGCTCCTGATATAGATGCTCATGTACTCAGTGACACCCCGATGTCAGGCTATTTTTCTGCACTTATGCTTTGGGTTTTACCCCATTTTTATGAAAAACTCTGATTATTTTAAATGTCTTAATTCATTTCTGTTAAATATTTGAAAGTGTTTTGGGAATGTCGGCTTGCCTAGTATCACGATAGGCTCCATCACGACGGGTTAGGTTTTGGGTCGTGACAGCTTAACAAAGCGAGCGCCAATTTTTCTAGGTGAGGATACCTTGTTTCGGCCTCGCCTAGATTTCTACTAACATAGTAAATAGGAAATTGCGTACCTTCCACTTCACGAACTAGGACTCCATTTACCGCTACCTTGGATACCGCCAAGTAAAGGTACAACTGCTCATCCGCCATTAGAGTATGGAACAAGGGTGGACTCGAAAGGTACCATTTGAGTTATTCCAAAGCTTGTTGGCACTTCGGGATCCAAGAAAAGTTATTCTTCTTATTCAATAATGAGAAGAACCGACGGCGTTTTCCTGAGAACCTCGATATGAACCGGCCCAGGGCGGCTATGAGCTCGGTTAGCCTTTGAATGACCTTGACACTATCCACCATGGTGATGTCTTCTATAGCTTTAATTTTATCGGGATTGATCTGAGTCCCTCAGTTGGACACCATGAATCTAAGGAATATTTCGGATTCGACCCCGAATGCTTATTTTTTCGGGTTCAACTTCATATTGTATTTCTTCAATAAGTTAAAGGTTTCCTGTAAATGTTTTAAATGGTCCTCTTCTCGCAGTGACTTAACTAACATGTCATCAATACAAACTTTCATTGATTTTCCTATTTGTTCTTTAAACATCCGGTTTACTAGGCATTTATAAGTGGCACCGGCGTTCTTTAGTCCAAACGACATTGCCTTATAACAATAGGTTCCGAATTTAGTGATAAAGGAAGTTTTTTTCTTGATCGTCGATCCATCCGGATTTGGTTGTACCCGGAATAGGCATCGAGAAAGCTGAGTATCTCGTGCCCGACCGTCGCATCGATCATGCGATCGATGTTAGGCAAAGGAAAAGAGTCCTTAGGGTACGCCTTTTTCAAGTCTTTGTAATCTACGCACATTCTTATTTATTTCCCTTTTTAGGCACTACCACTATGTTAGCTAACCAATCCGGGTACTTAACTTCCCAAATAGAACCTATTTTAAGGAGTTTGGATACCCCGTCTTGATGAATGCATGGTTGACTTCAGACCGAGGCCTCCTCTTCTGTTTAACCGGGTGGAACTTTGGATCCAAGCTCATCTTATGAGTGGTTATCTCTGGCGGGATCCCTGTCATATCAAGATGGAACCAAGCGAAATAATCTATGTTATCTATAACAAATTCAATGAGTGTTTTCCTGAGCTCTGGGGTTAACCCCATGCCCAGGTATACCATTTGATCGGGCAAATGTTCGATCAATATGACTTGCTCGAGATCCTCGACCGTTAACTTGTTGGCATCGGAATCATCAGGGGGCGATGAATGACCTAGGGACTCCGTAATCATCATCCTCGCCTGCTCCTTGCTTATCCGGTTCGGTAGGAGCTGGTATCAGTGATTGAAATTTAGTTTATTCCTTCCTAACCAGCTCCGTGTTCTTTGATGTCGAGAGTGCATACATTGGGACCACATCATCGACTACGAATATTTCTTTTGCGATCGTCTGCTCTCCGTAAATCGCCTTGATTCCTCCTAGTGTGGGGAACTTCAGTGACTGGTGTAGTGTTGAGAGTACTGCCCTCATGTTGTGAACCCAAGGCCTTTCGAATAAGGCGTTATACCTCATGTCCCCCTCAATCACGAAGAAATTGGTATCCTGAATTGTCCAAATGGTATTTACTGGAAAGGTTATTTCTCCTTTAGTCATTTGGCATGCCATGTTGAACCCATTTAAAACCCGGACTGCTAGCACTATTTGTTGTTGTAGACCCAACTGCTCTACGACCCTCGACCTGATGATGTAGGCCGAGCTACCTCGATCAATCAACACGCGCTTAACTCGAGATTTATTTATAAGTACAAATATCATCAGGGCATCATTATGCGGTTCTACTATGCCTTCGGCGTCCTCTTCGTTGAACGAAATGGCTCCCTCCGGGATATAATCTCGGGTTCGTTTTTCCCTTATGCTGGACACCTTAGTGCGATTTAGCATTGTTTCCTAGGGGATATCAACTCCTCCAATGATCATGTTGATGACATGTTGAGGTTCTTCTTGTTCGCTCTATTTGTTGGAGTCCCTGTTCCTGAAGTGATTTTTGGCTTGATCACTCATAAATTCCAGGATATGCCCATTATTGAATAATTGGGCCACTTCTTCTCTTAATTGTCGGCAGTCCTCGGTCCTGGGTAGAGCCAGACTGCAATGGCCGAGGCCATTTGGTATCCTTGATGCACCCGATGGAAGATATGATGCTGGCAGCATCGACATTGAAGTTATATTCTAATAACCTCGGTGCCTCCCTAGCCCCGAGTGGCCTATCGAAATCATTGTTTATCATGAGTCCCCGGCTACTATGGCCTCGATCGCTCCTCTTCTCATTTCTTGTAGGGTTGTGCCCAGTTCCATTACTCCTTCGATCTCCTTTATATGGTTGATACCGGTCTCTGTTCAATCTTGGTTCATGGTCGATGACTCTCTTAGACCTTTTATTAGTTCTGATGGGATAAACGGAACCCGAGGGGTCCCCGAGTTAATCGTCCTCGACTCTTATTTTTGACTGGTACCTGTTCTGGATGTCGGCCCAAGTTACCGACGGATACTCTATCAAATTTTATTTCAGCTGCTGTGAAGCCAGGGAACTTCGGGTATTATGTCCTTTAGTGAACGCCTGAACGGCCCAATCATTGGCAACCGAAGGCAAGTCCATCCGTTCCATTTGAAACCTCGATACGAACTCCCTGAGCATCTCTCTATCTCTTTGTTTTACCTTCAAAAGATCAGATTTTTTGGTATCTACCTTGATGGCCCCAGTATGCGCTTTCACAAAGGGGTTTGCAAGCATAGCAAACGAATCAATAGAATTTGAGGGTAAGTTATGATACCATATCATTGCTCATTTTGACAGGGTTTCTTCGAACGTTTTCAGCAAAACCGACTCAATTTCGTCATCTTCTAAGTCATTTCCCTTGATGGCACACGTGTAGGAGGTCACGTGCTTATTTGGATCCGTGGTTCCATTTTACTTCGGAATATCAGGCATACGAAACTTCTTCAGGATTGGATTCGGTGCCGCGCTCGGAGGGAAAGGCTTTGGAACAAATTTCTTGGAGTCTAGGCCTTTCAATATCAGCGGCGCTCCTGGGATTTGATCGACTATGGAATTATAGGTCTCTACTTTTTTGTCGTTGGCCTCAATTTTCTTCTCCGGGGGATTCCACCCGCTTTGTCAGTTCCTCTAGAAATTTTATTATTTCGGGGTTGGTCCCGGGGTCAGCTTCACCCGGCCTTTCTGTGGCTTTCTCATTTCTTCAGGTGTTTTCCTGGGATGGTTTGGACTCAACTCTGCTGGGGGCGCGGCTTTGATTCAGCAGCTATGATATCGCCGCTTGTTGGGCCTATAACATTTCGAAGATCACCCGCAGATTGATCATGTTGCCTTCACCTTCGGACGTACATCGAGCCGTTAGACGGGCTCCTCCACGAACGTTGTTCTTAGGGTCGGGCGGTAGGTTGGCGTCGATGGCCACATGTGAGTTGGCATCGACTGGGTCTACAACTGGGACTCCGTTAGGATCAACAGGGGCACCTCGTTGCTAGGCACTATATTATTATTTTCGTTGTGATGGCCAGATTCAGCATCAACGTTCAAGTGAGCAGAGTAAGAGTTTGACATTTTTAGGTTGACCTGAAATTAAAATCTCAAAGAACAAGCGTAAAACAAGGTGTGTTATGAAAATTTGTATCAAATTACCACTATTATCCTTAGCCCCACGGTGGGCACCAAGTTGTTTACCCTTAAAATGGATAATAATTAAATTTATACGCGATTTTAAGGATACGTGGATTAATCTGATACAAGTGATCAATAATGTTAGATAAGCAAATGAAAGATAGAATAAATAGCCAAACCAGCAGTAGTATTGAATC